AAGGAAGGAGAAAGTCATAGAGAATGGTTGGAGTAAAATCAATAGAAGGGTTTTGCTAGATTGGCCATCACAAATTTCTCTCTCTGACTTTCTCTTTTAGTTTTGAGGTTTATTCCTTTTTCCTTCTTGCCTAAATCAAAGATTTTTTCATTGGTTAGAGAGAGAAAGAGACATGCCTTGTGTGAATAATGAAATATGATAGCTTTATGAAAGAAAAACTTGTTTTCATGTTTCACTCAAAAGGAAGGAGCAAAAAGTAAAGTGCTCTGGTCCTATACCTTTGAAATCAGGAAATAGTATTTTAAGCCCGGAAGTGATATATGAAATGGGGAAAACAGTTTGTTAGTTCTATAAGTGTGCTTGCCTTTTGCACAATAGTCTGTTTGAACTATATTCTGGGTCAATAAGTAGCAGGCGTTTGAAATTTCAGTGTCCTTTTTTTTTTTTTTTTTGCATTTATTCTAGTTTTGTTTTATAATTTGAGTGGAGTTGGGTACTGTCTTGTCTCCTGCATTTAGTGCCTATAGAGGAAACATGTTGTAGTGGCACTTTGTTTTGTGCTCTCTCTCTCTCTCTCTCTCTCTCTCTCTCTCTCTCTCTCAAACACATGCACATGCATGTCTACACACGGCACACATAAACCAATGCTAAATAACCCAAAGCAGATAAATTTTTTTCATATTTCACAAGCTCTCCGATCATCAGCAATTAGTGTATGATTTACCTGGGCACAAGAGTTTCCTTTTCAGTTCTTTAATTATACATTGCGTTTAATTAACACAAAACTATATGAAACACATCAAAGATTTTTACATGTGAATACATGTAATTAAATTTCCTTCAGTAAACCTAGAATGGAAATGTTATTAACTAAGACACAGTGTGATTTCTATGGGATTATTAGTTAATCTGGATTATATTTATACGGATGTGCATTCAATATTATGGACATGACATTCAAAATGTGCATAGTAGCTAAAGGGATCCAATTACCTTAATTGATGTGATAGACTAATTGTGAATAAAATATTGCTATATAAATTTCCTGACTGAACATAAGGTGGACATGCAACTACTAGTAAGAAAAGAATGGCAATGTCAGTTGTCTTGGATTAAATTTTGAATACATATTTATGTCTTAGATTTATCTTAACAATTATGATTGAACTTGGACAAGGTGTTTCAGAGGTAGTTTGAATTAATTAAGCTCAAATCCATCATTAATTGCAGCAGCATTTAATTGGATGTCTGATACTTTTTGTGTTGAGACACTTTGACATCCACAATAATAAAAAAAACTTTTTTTTATTTGTGTAAAGAATTTTATTTTTAAAGCAAAAACATAAAATAGCTGTGATCTTTAATTGCCTGTAATTTTCAGGACCCCTGAGATTGACTGTGAATTTACCTTTTTAAAGATAATTCATTTTCTTCATAAGAGACAGACGGAGATTTTAAAGTATTTTTCCTTGTATTTTCCAGGGCTTCCCCCAGGCTCCAAGCCGCCCCCTCTGACGATGGTTAGTTCTGCCTCTGGTGGTCCAGTAACTCGAACTACAGCCACTGTCCCTCCGCTCCATCACCAAGCAACGTCCAGTAGTCCTGGCAACAGTTCCGTAAGCAGCAATGCTGCTCTGAGTGCCACGAGGAATTCCAGCTTTGCAGCAGCATTGAGGAAGTTGGCAAAGCAAGCAGGTGATCAACCAGGTAGGGGGATTAACTCTGTCTCTCTCTCTTTCTCTCTCTCTCATCATCATCATTATCATCTCATCATATATGGGTGTTTTTACTTCATCAATTTTAATTTGATTTTTTTATAGTTACAAAATTTGTGGAAGAAATTGTTAAAAGTGAACTTTATGACTCGCCTCCACATCCCATTATGCAAAAAAATTCTTATGCATGTGGAATGAATTTTTTTTCAGACAATCGTGATTCCACTTCCAACACTTCTCCGACGTCATCCAGTACGAGTCCAAGGGGTTCTTCACCTGCAAGAGGCCCTCCACCCCCATTGGTCTATTCCAATAACCAATCAGTGCGCAGTATAAATTCACCTCCTGTGGTGACAATTGCCCCCACACCGTCACATAGCACATTATCTGGATTGGATAGCCACAGGAAGGTAAGCAGACTACCCACTGGTTACTGTGGCCAGTGGACCTCAGGAAAAAAAATTATTTCTAATATTATACAAGTCTTTACAGTACGTTTGCTACTCAGTGATAGACAAAGACACCTTGCACATACGCCAGGGGCGGATTGAGGCTGTCTTCTGGGTCTTCCAGAAGACGGTCAAATTTCTAAGTTCACATTGATGAGTACCTAATTTTTTCTGTCGGAAGACCGTCAAAAAATGGAGGATGGATCAACAAAGTTAATGTGGAAGACTGTCAGAAAATATATCTGGATCCGCCCCTGCACTCAATCACATAATGAGAAAAATTATAGTTTCAAATAATGATATATAATACATGCAGATTTCCCCTTAATTAATAAGATAGAATCTCAGTAAGCTACAGTGATTTTTTAATAGCAGTATCTGAATATAGAGAAAAAATTACTGCCCTAATCAAAATTATATTGCTCAAAGAAACAATGAGAAACAATGAAAGAAAATATTCTAAAATAATTGCCAAAATATGTAGTTGTTTGATTGTACTTTTAACTTGGAAAAATCCCAATTTTTTATGCCTGCTGCACCATTAATCAGCTAGTCAGTTGCCAATTGCAATATGTATCCTGACTGTCAGTGAATAAATAGCTGTTCAAGCTCAGGTAGAGTAAAGGTGGGGAATGCTGTAGTACTCTATCCTGAAGTATGGACATTCCACTTGCTCTCAAACCTACCAGGTATTTTCAAATAAGATGAGAAGTGAGCATTAGGCACCAATTAGCTATTACCTGTAGGTGACCTACACCCACCTGTGGGGGAAGATGGAGCAGCGTTATCTGGGCTTTTTCAGAAATGATCTTTAGCCCAAAATGTGGTCTTAATTTAAAGATCAATTTTTTTGACCTCTTTAAATGTCATTAATCAGTAGTAGTCCATTCTTACCGAATATTCTGGCCATTACATATAACTAAAAAACATGGCTAATCATTTAGACCAATAGTTACTTTATTTTATCATAAACAGTCTGTAAGAATTTTTTGAATGGAACTATTCTAATTTTTTTGATTTCATGGCTCTTTTTTTAATGAAAATATAAATGAATTTTTTATTAATAATGTTTATTAAACATTATATATATAATATCCATTACATATATTTATATAATGTTTATTATAGGGCATGGACCGTACCCCACTACCTGCCCACAGTGGGATCCCTCTTATTGAACCCCTGAACATGACCAAAGAGAGGCTGAGCGAGCAGCACTCCCTGTCCTCTGCTCACATGTTTCTCAGCGAGAGGCGACAAGAAGAAGACGCCCTTCGAAGTAGAGAAAGAGAGTCAGTGACTCATTCCTCTGGGTAAGCAAGAATTGAGTGATTTTCAGATTAGTTTTATGAGTTTTCAAGACTGGCTTGTGTCTTCTAAAGGAACCATTTACACGAATCGAGTTAAATTTGTCCCAATATGTGTATGTTCAGTTTACGAGTAAGTAAAGTTCATAGCAGATATCTTGCAAAGAAAATTGATACCATTCCTTGTTTTATGACTGATCAGTCAAAATCCATTCTCAATTTTTAGACACCCAGCCAGCACCTCTCATACCAGCACCCTGGCGGTGCCCCCTACTACCAGAGACGACCTATTTCACCGAGGATTCCAGCCTTACAGAGCTGGAGAGGATCTGTCTTCACGCACAGCACTTCCTTCACATTTTCCCTTCGATCCATCTCTGTACCCCTACCCTGGGTTCCTGCCGCCGCCATTCTCACATCCTGGCTACAGGTATGTTTTAAGTCTGGCTGTCCTGCAGAGTATATTTCATTTAAAAGAACTATCATGAGCATTGATCTTGCATTAAGTGGTAAATGGAGTATTTTTTGTGATTAAGTAATCAAAGCTCTGAAAGATGATCTTTAAACTTAAAACCAATGTTGGTCTCTGTTGGTAGATAAACATGGGTGGATAGTGAATACTTTCAACACTTTTGACAATAAACTTTCAAATCTATAAACTAGATCTTTAAACTTTCAAACACAAATAATTTTACATTTCACCAATCCTGATTAACTTTGCCCTCTCTATTACAGGATGGACGACCCACTGTTGCTGGAACGGTATCGCATGATGCACCCCACTTACATGCACTACCTCCCCCCAGGCCTGATGCCACATCCTGGACTCCACCCCCACATGTTAGCCGCTGCCGCCGCCACGGGGAGATATCCCCCGGATCTCCTCCAGCACCAACTGGCCATGATGTCCCCGAGTGCTCGACCTCCGACTGACCACCGGTCACCTGTACTGAGTGAGAGGTCAGTAGATTTGTGGTCATATGCCTGGGTTTGGGTATGTGGATGCACATATATACACACACAGAATGTAATGAACGTAACATATATTTTTATCAAGCTTTACATTTTTTAGACAAGTTAAAAAGTGATATCTTTTTATACATTGGTCTATGATGTGTTTTAGATAAAATTTCAATAATTTGGAGAAAGAAACTTATCCATTTGTTAATTAATAGAAGGAAAATATGCTTTAAAATGAATGCTTTAAAAATTTCAGGCAAAAACTTGAAGAGGAGCAAAGGAAAAGAGAACATGAACTGGAATTGGAGCGAGAGAGAGAACGAGAACGCCAGAGAGAGAGGGAACGTGAATTAGAGAGAGAAAGGGAAAAAGCCAGAGAGAGGGAGAGAGAAAGGGAGAGAGAGCGCAGAGACAGTGAGGACAGGAGACGAGAACAGGAGAGACGAGCAGAATTAGGACTAGGTTAGTTTTGTAGTCACTGTATTTATCAGGATGAAATGAATTTTTAAAAATGGCCTGCTTTATTTTATGTACTTATATTGTACTTTAATTGTTCACTAGAATGTAATTAATAGTTCTGCTAAAGAATACAGAATAAATGTTTTAATTGGCATAGAAATATATAAATGATAGAAAATATGGTTTTGGCATTGGCTATAATAACATTTTATAGCCTGCTGAAATGACATTCTAAAAAGTTAGAATCTGTATTGCGGAACTTTCTTAACTTATTTAAAGCAATGTTATTACATAACTTTTGGAGTTGTTTGAATCAAATTTTTGACAAACCAGAAGTATGGGCTGAAATTTGTAATATTAAAGCTGTGTCTTATCTTGTATTTTCCACATGCAGTGGCGCCCTCACACAGCTATCCCCATCCCAGCTTGCCCCAGGACCTGTCTACTGCATCAGCTGCCAGGCGAGATTCACATCTTGCACTTAAAATGGAAGAAGAGGCAGCAATGTGGAGGGAAAGAATTAACTTACTGCATTTTGAGAAAGACAGAAATTTGTCACATTCTCACCAGGTTAGTTGTGAGAGTTCAGCTTGTAGTTTGAGTTCACATTTTTAAACAAAACTGGAGTTTAAAGAAAACTTACCTGACACTCAGCATATGTGAATTGCTACTGCAACTTGTAATTTTTTAAGTTACAGGAAGTAGTTACAGACTGTTAGTATTTTATTAATCAGCTACCGTATTCCTCACCTATCTGTTAGGGATATGCTTCGATTTTTTTCACCCACAAAACAGTACTTTATTTTTATTTTTACTATTTCAGAGGTTTCTACATGATCAAATTGCCAAAGAGCAAGAACTTGTGAATAGAGAGCGAGAGCGTCGCCTCCAGCAAGACAAAATTATAGGTGGCTCTGCAATTCCGCCCAAACTGAAACAGCCAATGCTCTCACCATTGGATCTTGACCATCAGCTTCCACCATCATTCCACAATCAGCATAAAGAGCCAATCAATCTCCATCGTCCCTACGAGTCAACAGAAAAATCAAAATCCTCGATAGATTTTAGACACTTGGCTAATGGGTTTGAGAGATCGTCTTTCTCAGACTATGAACGCAGGTTACGCAATGAAAGAATCCTTGCACAAGATCGTTGGACATTGCAACAGTCACCTGGGTTTGCCTCTCCTGGCAGTCATGACAGGCGAGTTGACAGTGCAGCAGCAGATAGTACAAAGGTCAGCCAAGACAAGCTGGAACCAGTGCCAATTGACAGAAATTCTGCTGCTTTGAGGTACCCCAGTAAACAGGAGAGAAGACCAGAGGTTAGTCCCAGAGCAAATCATTCCTATTACAGGCCTTTTGAAACAACATCCCAGACAGTCGATGAACAAAAGTTGAGCAGACGACAGCCAATACCCCCTGCAGAGTCTGACCCAATTAATGCACTTCATGAGGAGTACTTACGATATGAGAGTATGCTGAGACAGCATGCCCAACATACAGACTCCACCCCAAAAGAATGCCGCAGCAAACTTGACATTGAGGAAGAAATGATGCGTAAAGCAAGGCTCTCCAAAACATGGAAAGGAGAGGAGGATGAAATATCCCCAGAGGAGAGACGAACGCAGCATTTATTAACCATAGCCTCAGGACCTCCGCTGAGGATGGATAAGTCGCCAATGAAGTTGGGCTTCCTCAGCTCTTTTGGATTAGTGGACCAGGATAAGAAATCAGACCTTGAATTTGAAAAAGTTTGCAGGAGAAGGAGATTGTACAGAGAGAGCAGTCTTAGTCCGGTGGTTGTAGACGAGGCTGAGAGGGCGACATCTCCTCTGCAGATTACAACCAGTTATAAGGTAGAGGACCTAAATCGGGAGCCATTTTACAAGGAAAAGGCTAATTTTCTGAAACAACTTGGGTTGGAGGCTGTTCCATCTTACAGAAGAAGAGGTAGGAAGTGGAATCGAGTTGTTTGATGTTTTTGGTTCTACTTAACATTGTCGTCTCAGAAATTTTATGTTTGTGTCATAAGTAAGATTTTGTATTTAATCTAAAAATATTTCCTTTTCTGTTACCAGTATTATAATTTTTAGAAAATTTTTATTTCTTTGAAAAGTTAAAGAGTTTACAACAATATTGATATAATGACTTTTTTACATTAAGAAATCGAGGTGATACAGAGAACTTTACTGGAAGAAAGACGTCGAAGGGTGATCCGTATGGCACAAAGAAAGAAACAAAGGCAGCACAAAATGTTGAAAAGACAGCAAAAGGCAGCAGAAGATCAAAAATCAAATTTAGCCGAGCAGACGATACAACCAATCCAGCACAGCCACAGTGCACCCTCGTCACCAACCAAACCCTCGTCCCCCCTGAAGCGTACCAGGCAGAGTAAGTGCTTCAAAAAAATAATAAATAAATAAAATAAAGCTCTATTTACGATGATTGTAAGACATCTAGTGCCAATAATGTATGCATACTGCGAACATAATAAGTCCTTTTCATATTGTGGGTTATACTAATACTTACATATATATCTCAACATTTTGACTGGTCCTTGGATGTAATTACACTATGGAGACCTTTCACAAGGTCACTTCAAACTGTTTGGACCTATCAAAATTAACCAGGTGAACTGTATGACCATATCCTTTAGATGACTCTTTTAAATCATAGTCAGGCTATTGGGTTTATCACTATCTCAGAACATTGTGATACAGATAAGTTTATGGTACAAGTTTATGAAAAGGGTCATAGATGACCAGCAGAAGTCTGTGAGGAACACACAATGCCATCTTGGCAAGCAAGTATTTCATTAAACACATTATGAATGAATGTATATAGTTTGTGATAGCAGGCAGATTTTCAGCATACATCAATCTTTTGATTTGCTACAGCATTTCAAAAGAAGCTTAGTAATAGAGCTTTAGGCTCATACCAGTTTGGGAATATCTGCAGCTTTGAACAGGCGTTACGATGTTTGTCATCATGGTATGCTCACCATGTCTGTTTGCTTGTAGGATCTCAGAGCCCCTGTGGGATGAAGAGGAAGAAGAGTCAAAATGACGCTGTCTCATCATCACCCAAGAGAAGAAACGTGGATTTTTTCAAAAACTCTTCGAAAAACTCCCCTGGTTCTCCCAACAAGACTCGAAACTCCCCTGTCAAAGAAAGGGACTCCCCCAGTGCAATTCCCAAAGGGAAGATAAGTTGTTCCAATTCCAAACAGGCGATTATTTTCCCAGAAAGTCACGAGAAACATAAGTCGTGGAGCAGGGAGTTTGCTGAGGAGTTCCACCAGTCAGTGCTGCAGAGCACCCAGAAGCAGATGGCAAGCAAATCTGGTAAAGTTCCTATCCCAAGGCCTCATTCAGAATAGGGGACTAACTTGTCCGAGGGTCAAATGTGGCTACCCACTACAAAGCTTGCTGTTTAATCCGCTCATAGACACTGAATAGATATCCCTTGGGGCAGTATTCAAGTGGGTCAGCCATATTTGACCCTCTGACTAGTTAGTCCTCTATTCAGAATGAGGCCCAAGATTTGAAAGATAGATCCTGTGTAGTTAACAGACCTGTAGTCCACCACATTTGTTCCCACACAGTCCATTCTTTTCAAATCCTTTCGGAGCATGGTAACTTGAATTGTAACTCAAAATAGGCCAGTTTCTATATATCTATACATAACAAAGATAATTGTGAAATGACAACAGATTTACCCTTGATCATGTTAACTATTATATGAATATAACTCTAATTATTCATTTCAACCTGCGCTAAATGGAAGGCTCACGTAACTTAAAATTGTTCTCTAAATTTGCAGGATCCAGTCTTGAGCATTCAGGATCAACAGAAAATTTCCTTCGTATTAGACGAACAAACGACCGTCCATGTCCCGAACAATCACCTCACAACTTGAACAACAGAACTCCAATTGGCAACCATGCCAAGGTGCCCTGTAAAGATTCTTTGCCGTTTAATAATGCCTCGTCATCTTCCAAAAATGTACACCCTGGCGATTCCCATAGCAATGGATCGTGTGACAGTAATTCCGTTTTAAAATGGCCTGGGATTGAGGTGCTAATGGAGGCTTATCAGAGACATGTTGAAGGTACAACAAGTGACCTTGACCTCAAAACATGACCTTGACCTTGCATATACCCATGACCTTGAAATACAACATCAGGATGGCATGTTTTGAGGTTGATGATTGAATGTTATGGATGTAATACATAATGTTGGTGATGCTGTAGCCAATGCCCCAGCATGCACGTTATTGACAGAGCTATTAGACAAAAGTATGACCTGCCTAGCCATACATCCAAGATGTCGTCTGCTGAGCTTGCTACCATTCTGCCTTGGTGTGCTATGTGTTTGTGCATGGACTGCTGCAGCTTTTCTAGCACATTTTCCAGGACTCTCATTTCAATGTCTTCAGCGCAATGTGCCTTGGTAAATAATGTGACAGAACTAGACACTCTAAAAAAACTGCAAGACTGGTGATTTTTAGCTTTCTCAGAAAAAATTTTAAAAAGTGAAGAACGCTTAATATTATTGAAAGAAATCAGACTGAATGTGAACATTTTAACAGTGTTGTATTTTATACAGGAAGATCTCTAAGTCTAAGGGATGAGTGCAAAAGAGGTCACTTGGTCCATGTCATGTGATCATCACATGACTTAATCCATACCATGAGATCTCATGTGACACAATAGTTACTGTTAACTGTGCTAGTTTTTTTGTAAACTGTATTGTCTTTCATACCTAGGAAAGGTGCAAAGTGATTTTTACATAAATCAAACTGCAGATTTTGAACTATTTCATCTGTGATGAAAGAAATAGGGTGCAACAAGATCAACAGTCAGCTTGATAATTAAAAATAATGAATTGATTGATTGATATTGATTTAGTACTTAGACTGCATAGAGCATTAGATAAAAAAGAATTAGATTTTTACGTGAATTGTTCTAGTATTAGAGGTTGTCCGAGACAGAATGCATTGTGTAGCTATAAAGTCCAATGAAATATATAGATTTTGATAAAGCTTATTGTAGAATTTACTCCAGATGTTTTGTTTCATATGATGGAATAAAAGAAAAAAAGTCCAAATTTTGGATTACTTCATTTTTGCCAATAAGGATCAATTCTCTTTAAAAGAATATATTTATATTCTTCCAATGCTAAATATTTTGTTTGATTGAAGGAATAAAACTTTTATTTTGTCACCGCACATTTAGATTTGTACCTCTCTAGTGAGTTGTTCATTGTATTTTGCTAGTGCACAACTTCAGCACAAGAAAAAAAATCAATTGCTATGTTTCTCTCTTTCAATTTGCAAAGTAAATGAAAATCGGATTTAAATCTTTAAACTCTTCCTGTTTTCTGCAGGTAGTGGATGCTCAGATTCTCAGCCATGAAAAATCTTTGAAAAGATTTTGTTTTTTGGAATAACAAAAAAAAAAAAAAAAAAAAACTGAAAATGCACCCGTTTATTTTTCAGCAATACCCAGCTTAAAAATGGCATGTTTCTTTTTTTGCTTTAATAAGGATTGTGAATTTTTTTTTTTTTTTTTTAATGGGACCTTGAGCCAATCTTTTCTTTTTTTTTTTACTCTTTTTTTNATTTTTTTTTTTTTTTTTTAATGGGACCTTGAGCCAATCTTTTCTAATTATTATGACTCTTAATTATTATGACACTTAAATGTGCCTTTGAATTCACAACTTCTACTCCTTGGAATTTTTTTAAGAGTGAAACAAAGTAATTTTTCAACCTTTGATTGAGTAGCACTTTTTGTCTGTGTGTTGATTTTTGAAAGATGGCTTGAAGAAGGAAAATTAGCCAACAAAAACGCCAAAAACATTTTTCTTGACTCGATAAGAAGTGTTCAAGTTCAAAAAGAAAAAAGTAGAAAGTTTTGAAATGAAGCATGTATTATGTAGTCTTCTCTTCTGCTTCAGGCATGCAGAACAGATATCACAGAGCTATTTTTGTAAATGTCCTTTATTTATTCATCTATTTATTTAGTTATTATTTTTTATTTTTATTTTTGTGTGCGATTGAGGGAAGCTTGGAGCAATTTAAAAACTAAAACTAAGATTATTTTAAATCTTCAAGTTCCTTGGAATGTGGAATTGCCTTACTGTTCAGCCTCTTTTGTTAACAATATTTCTGTGTAAATGTTGCGGCTTGTCAAAATTGAAGAATGTGACAAAGGAATTATGATTTTGATATAAAGTGGATTTATTAAAGCTTTGCGTAAAAGGGTGGATTAAAAGCTAATGATTTAAAAAAATATTTTAGTCTCAGTTCTTAATATCAATAAATTGTTTATTTTTATGAATGCTCACATGTAGAATGCCTGTTTTTAAATTCTTAATTCACAATTTCACGTGTCGTAGCAGACATTCAGGACTAAACTAAAATTTAATTAAAAATTAATTAAAAAATTAAAAATTAATTATAAAAAGATTTGTTCATTTTAGGTTCTGAAATGCACGTTGGTCGTTTCAGAACAGACAATGGAAAAAGAGTTCCTAATGACGAATGCCGACAGAATGAGAAACGAAACTTTACAACTGAACAGAACGGTTCAGAGACTTAACACCAAAATGGAGGTGGGTTTTTATTATTTTGCTATTTATGCAAATATTTATTTTAAATATCGGCTTATGCTGTGGACATACCCAGCTGGTGAAAGGATAAAGTTTTGAAGATAAGCAATTGCAATTAATATTTTGGAATAAAATAACAATTGTCTTGATACGTATTATGTAAACCAGTGGAACTTGACCATAACTTATTAAAGTTACATGGAATTAGCAAGGACACAAGTTTTTTTTTTTTTAATTGCCATTTTCTATATATTTTTTAGGATCTGATAGAGGCAAGGCAACAGTTATCTGCTGAGGAAGAAAAAACTCAGTCTGCCATCTTGTTACTCCATCGCAGCATATCTGACCTACGATAAATTACACTTATGCTGTTCTCTCTGTCTTGCAAAAAAAGATGCTCCCAAACATTTGGACCTGTTACAGATAAAAATGTTCAAATATGGTATGGAAAAGGATGCTGAGTGAATTGGAGAAAATGCTCATACCACAGTTGCTACAAGCTTTAAAAGTAAAGATGCAAAATATGTGTCAGTTACGAGTGTTCATATGATCACAGTTCAAAGAATTTAGAAAAAAAACCTCTAATCAATGTCCATGGACTAATGAAAAGAGTAGATCAGTCAAATTCTTTGGACATTTTGCATAGAAATCAATCTCGTGGTACCCCGAGGTTTAGAATATTGGTGCATGTTATATAGTGTTTGGTTGACTGTAAACTCAGGGTATTCTTTGTCTGAATGTAGTAAAGAAAGTAACTGTTTCCGGCAAGTGTCGACCCACTGTGGCCCTTTAAGAATTGTGTTTATGTCAAAAAACTGAACTTATTTTAAGTCTGGGAGTTTTGTCCACCTTAGTCCAAGAAAAATGCATGCACAAGGTATCTCATCTAAAAGAGCCATGGGTGAAAAAAATTAGCAGTTTCTTTGTTCTAGTTAAACAGAAAAAAAGTCTCGTAACCCTAATTTTACAATCATCACTCTGTAGTCTTCGCTCATTTAGATGTTGTGCTGAAACAATTATGAAACACATCAGGGAAAAATTCCTGGTTTAATGATAAGTGTTGACAGATATTTACTTAGTCTGCAAACTGAATGCACAAGCAGGAACAGGGTTATAATGTCATTGCCAGGCAAATATTGTTTGTGAATAATAACGAATAAAGCTGCTGAGAGTAAATACCATAGAAATATATATTTATTTAGTGTACTAAATGTGGCAAAAATGTAAAAGTATTAGAATGTATTCATATTGTATTTATGCAGATGATTTCACATTATTGACTGTGCCTTGAGATAAAAGAAGTTAAAATGAAGCAGTTGTAGAATTGCATATTGTGGAGTACTGTTGTACTGTCGTGGTATCTAAGTTTAATATATTGTAATGTCATAGATGTTGTCTGTTGTTCATATACTGACAGATCAGAAAGCACTCATACATATATGTAAATTAGTTCTTTGAGTAATGTCCATTTTGAAGTTAGTATAACTATTTTTATCAAGTGGAAAAAAACATCAGGTTTGGCTTAAAGGTACATATGAACCGAGCATCGGTGGAGCATGGATTCCCTGTAACACATGTAAACCACTTCTACTAGTTTCTTATACAACTCATATAAATTCGACATGCCATGGGATAAACTGAATAGATCACTCGATCAGGCATAAAAGAGCTTTAGACTGCTACTTTCTTTAAATTTTTGGTTGGAAATTTAACCTACTTTCGTGACCTACTTTTCTGCCCCATTGACATACAGCATAGAATGCTAGCAGAAAAATCCGTTCAAACATCACTCTCGGGTAAAATTAAACAATGCCTTTTGGTAATTCTCTTAGTTATACTACTTGAAACTATATGCTGGCATTTGGTCAGTTTTTGTGACAAAAAATTGGCTTTGTATGCACCTTTAACCTTCAAGTTTCATTTAAAGATTTTCTTTTTAATTTTCTTACTTTGTGAAATTATTCGTTACTGTAAAGGATGTAACGTGAAATGTTGGGAAGTATCCCGAGGACAGCTGAAAGTATTATGTATGATAATAGCCATAGGAAGTAGACACCTTGCTGTATTTCAGTTTCTCTGTAAATGTCATTCAAATAATGATAAAACATAAAAATAAATTGCCAATGTTAAAAGTAGTGTTATGTTCTGTTTGTGTTTTTTTTTTTCAGATTTGCAATTTATTTAATATAATATAATATAATATTTACTTGTTAATCTCTGAAGCAAAAGAAAAATATTAACACACAACTATCAATTCACTTTTTAATCAATTTCTGAATATCCATAAGATCCCTTTTCCATTTGCCACAGATGGATGCTATTAAATGTTTTTTAGCATCTGATAAAAGTTTTTTGCAAGCCTGACCCCTGTCATATACACACATTGAATTGGGATATATCAAAATTCATTACAATAATTGATAAACTCCATATAAAAACCATTATTATGTGCACCCATATTACATGCCTATCCTTACTTTTTTGATGACAAAACACTGAACATGTCTCCCCCTCAAAACCAACAATTGTTTTGATAAGTAAGCTAGGCAGAATAGCACGTCCAGCCTTACAATTCTTCATCCTATCTCCTCACCTCTATCCTTAAACTGACATTCTTTCAAATGGACAGACAGACCCAAATGTCCTCCACCCAGACTATAGCCCTTAAAATTTTCATAGTGAGCTACAGCTAAGCATTAAATTTCTACCAGTACACTTAACAAAATTAAGTCACCTAGAAATGGAACCTCTGTGCTGGATGTGGCTAATTTAATAACTTAACAGCCGAAGTACACTTGTGGAGAACTTGTCAAAAGGTTCATATCATACGTAAGTATTTCTCAAAGTGTAACTGTATGAACTGTATCAGGTACAGAAAGTATATCTCTCATCGTGGAGAGGACCTATGCTGTTCCATCCCGATGAGCAGTCATTCAATCTTGACTGTCTTTCCATCCAGGGCAGAAAGTCTTCCAAAGTCAACACAGAAGTACATGTGAATAAAATCCTCCAGATTTGCTTCAGGGAAGTCAGAAAACCTTCAAAATCTTCAATATAAGGCATTAACGCAAATAAATAAATAAGCAGTTCAACTTGGATTATCCTTTCTATCATTCCTGTGTCTGCTTTAACCCTGTTTGCGTGTTAGTCCGTAACATGTGCATCTGATCTAGAGCCCGTGTGAGGAAGGGGCGTGCTGTGTTTATTTCCATGGGCGTAAGATGGTTAAGCTGAAGAAGAAGAAAATAGAAAGTTTGTGTAAAATCAGGCAGCCAACATGAATCGAATAAGGGTTGTTTCTAGCCCAGTAATACCAGCCAATTTTCTTTGAAGCAATCCTACTTTTCACTTAAAGTGAATTATGATGAGTCACATTGTTACAAGATACTCAAGTTGTGTCACTAGTGCTTATGACATAATATAGTAAGCTCAGAATCAAATAAACCTCTTCCCCCTCCTCCCAATATCAATCAAATTGGGGACTGGTGGCACATTGGGTACATGTATGGAGTGGGATAGTAAGACTTGATTGAACATTTTTGGCGCTGTGTTTCTTTTCGTCCTGCTTGGTTAGGTGGGCCAAAAGTGAGGCTGGACAAACAAATTTATTTGTATTTGTTAAAAGGGGGATGCACTCTTTGCATCTGCTGATGGGGATCGTTACCTTGGCATGTGTGACATCACTTCTCACAAACACATCAATACTGCTCCTTAGCTTGGCATTCCTCAAATCCCAGATGTCCTTGATGAGGGTCCGGATCTGGTCTGCCCTTGGGATATCTTCTGGAGCACTGGAGTCGAAAGATAAATCATAGATTGTTACAGAGTTATGGCAGTGTCAGGGAAAGAGGAACAAAGGATGGTTTGTCAGAGAAAACAAGTTTAACATAAAGTTTGTTAAGTATGAGTTTTTCTCAGGAAAATCTTATTCTGGCATCTTTATAATGTTTCTAACTGGGATTTGACTTTTTTTTTTCAATGTGTTGGGAAGAAGATCAATACTCACTACTTCATCAACAGCTGTGTTATTTCCATGTAATGGTTACTGGGCATTGCAGTGAAGAATTTGTCATCGGTTTCTTTCTGTTTTACTTCTTCAAGTGCTTCTAGAATATCGATGAAAATAAATATAATCAGATTATAGTCCTTCTGTGCTAGTGCCAAGTTCAGAGTCAGTTTAGGGCTTTGACCTGAAATTTATGGCAAACAATGAGTATCAATCATATACACCTAAGATCTAATATACCGTTTATTAGATCTTAGTATACACCAAGGCATTAAAAAAGAAATCTGAGACTCAGTGACTAATATTTTATTTTTTGTTAGTAAAGGTCTAACACACTCTATGCTTTTAACCAATGACCCCCATAAACTTGCTTGGTCACCGACTTAACTAAGTGTCAATTAACATCTCAGAGGGACTAAACAGGACTACTACTGAATCAGAGATATGGACACAAGTATCAACACAACTCACCTACATCCATCCATTCTGGTGGTTGTATCCTACATTTCTGCCTCTGTTTAAGATTCAGTGCCATCCACAGAGGGACATCCACAGGGAGACTGGGGCTAAATGGTCCTATCTCACCCTGTAAAGAGAAGCTTTTTATAAAAAAAAATGGAACATCAATAAATAATTCTGCATGTGGATATGTTGCCAGAGTATTGGGCCTTATATACTACCTACTCACTTCAAGTAAAGTCAAACTGATATACAGCATCAGAAAGAATTAACCGGTAAGTTACTTAGTAGAAGTTAACCATAACTTGATTCAAGAACTTCTTGCTGATTCCATGCCATGCCACAACAGTCACAGTGAATATTATCAGCCTGTGCACAACCTGCACGGAGACTCTAGCTTGTAAATGCATTCAGATTAACACATTTTGTACTGGAGTTGAGTAGAATACAAAAGCTACTCATTATAATAGTGCGTTGGAAACAAGAGAAGGCGTGGTAGTCTCTTAATCTGATTGCATTCAGCAGGAGCCCCCGTGGAGTTAGTGCACAGTAATTATAACCAGTAATAAGTAAATGGTTTAGTTTTCTTATTCTAAAAAATAACATCATAGTACATTGACAGCCTTAATTATGATGACTTTGCAACAAATCAACGACTGTCCAACATCGAACTCATCAAATCGACTGAAAATGGAGTAAACTGGAGTACCATGATTGTCGATGCCTGTGCTTGGCCTGACTTAAAGAAGAAGAATTCTTTTAAAAATCACAGAACAGGGGCGGATTTAGGCCGTCTTCTGGGTCTTCCGGAAGACGGTCAGATTTTCAAGTTTACATTGACAGGTATCTATTTTTTTCTGTCGGAAGACGGTCAAAAATGGAGGATGGATCAACAAAGATAATTTGGAAGACTCTCAGAAAATATCTCTGGATCCACCCCTGCAGAAAGATGCAGTGCCATACAGTAAGTGCTTTTGATTCAAGTTTACCCTGGTTTACTTACACCAATCAAATAAATCTTATCTTGATTAAAGTTTGGAACCACAGTCACCATCGTCTTCTCCGCTAGAAACTCAACTTCGGCTGGATCCATAGACATTGTTCCGTTTTTATCTCATTACTGTGTTGTCTGTGTGATAGTTTCGCGGGAATACATGAATATAGGTCATGGGAATAGGGTCAAGTAAGACAAACTTTGAAAAAAAACAACTGAAAAGATCCGGTATAATCAACTAAATATCTTCAAAAAGTTTGAAAAATATCTACTTGTCTAAAAATAGAATTATTGCAATTTTCTAGATATAACTGTTGCATACACAAAATTATAACAAGTCTGTCTTCGGTAGCGTCATCTATCGGTCGTTTGGGAAGGTGGTGAAAATGGCTGTCTGTCTTGCCAGGCAAGAAGTTGCAGCACATTTGGGCCAATATGCGCGCCGCTGCACTCTCAAAGTAAGTAAAATGCAATTAATCAAAACTTTACCGACTCTTTCAACATATTTTTGTTGTTCCCCATTGTTGTCAGGGAAGGTCGAGATGAAAATATGAGGCACACCCCCGGCGACACCACCCGGCGAACAGGCTTGGGTCTTTAAATTAATTGTTTTTAATCAAGTAGTATTGATTGCATGTATGGCAATTCATGGTTAACTCTCTTTTTGCCAAAGGTAACTTCAAATTAAAAGAAATTTTTTTTTAAATTTATGTCTTTATACTGGTGATTGATTTTGCCACGCAAAGAGGTATTTGCTAATACAGCTTAACTAAAAATTGCTTGAAATTCAAAACTGTGATTATCAGGAAATGCTAATGAATATAAAATATCTGTTAAGGCCCAGCCAATGGTGTGCTGTAGTGCATTAATTGGAAAGAGCAACGTCCCATCAGTGAGCTCATCTGCTAAAACCAGCAGTAGTGTCATACAGAGGAGAACTCTCTTTGGCTCTTCCAAGATCCCACAGCTGTCTAATATCCTCAGCCGCTCTGGGAAGGAGTTGCAAGATGTGGAGGAAGAAGATGCAGATGATTACAGGTAGATACGGTGTTGTTAGAGATAAGAAGGTGAAAAAATATTCCGATGTAAAAATAATAATTTCTGTTGTTTGCACACAAGCATGCTTACACACAAATGCATGCACACACGCACACACACACAATAAAATTCACATGTGCCCTTATGCTTCTGTGCACACACACACACAAACACACACACACACTCTTGTGTAAACATGAATTAACATGCAGATGCATAAAGATGCATGCACACATGCATTTACATGTGAATGAAAGCATGCACACTCAAATCGATGTCCCTAAAATGGGCAATACAGCACAATATAGTACAACACAGCGCAGTACAATTGAAAAAAAAATGCAAAAAAGAGAATTTGCATTCAGTGTCATTGGAAAATATCAGGGATCCTTTAACATAAAAAATTTGACTATTTTAGGGAACGTTTCATACCTGTGACCAGACTGACATTACACCGTATGCTGCTCCAAGAGCCAAACTTTCTCACAGACCAGGAGAAAAAGATGTACAATGAGTTTGCAGATGCCCTGGACAGTGCTGTGGACAACAAATACAAAGGGACCCTCAGGGAGCTCAATGTAAGAAAAGCAAGGCTACACAAGCAAGTTTACTTATATTACATGCAAAATTGAATAGATTGATTACAGTCCATCTAATCAGTTTTGTATGAACAGATAACAATTGATTATAATATAATATTATAGCATTGCACACCTACATGCATGCTACTACTACTACTACTATCTCCTATTATCGGGCGTCCAGGGCGTCAACAAAGGTCCTCCACTTCTCTCTGTCTCTATCCAGATGTTGGATTGCCCCCAACTTTCGCCCAGTTCAACAGTTCTCAGTCTTGGGTCTGCCTCTTTTTCTAAGCCCCTTTGGTGTCCAGAACATGGCTACATCAGTGGTGAAATTTGGGTTTTTTCTCAGCACATGGCCAATCCATTTCCATCTTCTTGTCCTGATGACTTCGCTTATGTTTCTCTGGTTGGTTTGCTTTAACAGATCTTCATTTGATATAGTCCTTGGCCAGAATATTTTTAAGATTTTCCTGAGGCTTGAGGTGTGAAAGGTAGATAGCTTCCTGAGATCTTCTTCAGTTATGCGCCAGCATTCTGAACCATAGAGAAGAGTTGATAGTACACAGCTCTCAAATATGTGGAGTCTACATGCATGCACTCCAGTGCAACTAGGTATTATGAAAAAGAACATGGTTTTTGAAGTATTTTGCACATTTGATTTAGAACAAAACAAAGCCAAGTTGCAAATTGCATTCCTGGATGGCATCCTTTAATCCCTGGAACTTATAATATTTTCAGTGTTCAGAAAGTTCCCTTATTTTCATATTATTCAGGCCATCTTTGATCCAATTAACCCAGACAAGGACACTTTAGTCTCCAAACAGCTGAGCAAGAAGCAGAGGATGGACCAGGAGTTCTACTTGCTTCAGAAGCTGGCTGAGGTGCTGGAAACTGCCAACTTCCATGAGCTTCCTAGACCTGTTGTGGAGAGAGCACTGGAAGATAAGAATACTGCTGCCAAAGTCATGGTTGGTACTCCTAGTTCTATTTACTTGTTTGTTTGTTTGTTTGTGCCTTACTTTATTTATGTATTCATTTAATCATTCATTTATTTATTTTATATTTATGAGACTAACATTTGTGTTATTCTGTTTGGTGGTACATGTAAGTAAAGTTGAAAGCAGTCCGGTTTTTGTACTCCATGTATAAATATATGTAGTACTGAAGCAAGCAGTGATGATGGGTTTCAGCAGATTGTTACATTTCAGGCATTATTCACAAAGTATAATTTTGAGAAATATTTTACTTCAGTTTTTGTCAAGTGTTTTGAGGAATTACTGTATTTATAAATTATTTCATGGTGAAATAGACTGATTATTGTTTATTTTGTTTTGTATAAAAATATCTATCAGTCTTAAATGAGATATGCTTGTGCATGCGTACCCAGTTTAGCTTGTGACATTGTTAATTTTTGCATTTGATAACTTTTTTTTTGTGCAAGAGAAAATTTGGGTTTCTGTTAGAAAGTAAGTTTCTGTAAGTTTCTACTGTAAAGGGGATGATATCTTAACAAAATATTAGAGTGAGCGTGTTATTTGATGTTTTCTCGTCAGGTTAGTGTGGATCCCACTAAGTATGACGTTCTCCGTTTCTGGGTTTTGGGCAAGGAATTTCCACCACCAGATGTCTCCTGGTACCAGTCCTTACTCAACCGGCTCAGGGGTCTGCCCCAACCCAAACCAGTCGAATACTACAAGCGCGTCCTGGTCGCAGTGCGCCACAAACGCGACCAGAAAGTCATGTTGAAATTCTTCAAGGAAGTTCCCAGCAACTCCCTGGAGAAACTGCTGCCCGAGGGCAAGATTTACATGACCAAGTTTGACCAGGGAGTCTTGCTGACCATGGGGAGTACGGCTGCTGTTGGGATACTAATTAAATTGGTCACTTGGATGGCATCCATGGAAATTAACTGGTCACTGCTTTTGACCGGTGTCACTGGACTCATTGGTGCCAGGGTGTATGGGTTGTACAAGGACAGAAGAAATGCGTACCTGGTGGATCTGAACCGTATGTTGTATTTTAAGAACATTGCTAATAACAGAGGGGTGCTGAGTCTGTTGGTAGATAGATCCTGTGATGAGACTTTCAAGGAGGTTCTTCTAACCTATACATACTTATTGACTACAAGAGCGCCATCTATTAGAGAGAAGGGAAGCAGTGAACATTTACCGTCAGAACTAGGTATGTGAAAGCAGCAGTTCATAATTTTTTTCATGCCATCAGTTAAATATTTAGATTTATAAGTAGATCTCAGTATTTTTCTATGATATTTTCTTGGGAGGCAAGCTTGATTTCTTGTGATAAATTTTGTCAAACACCAGTATGTATCCATAGAAATTTCTAAGAAAATTTTGTTGAAAGTTTTTTTTTCATTGGTGTTCTTTTTGTATTTATTTGGAAGTTTAGGACTGTCAAAACTTCTTCATTTTGAAGATGAACTATTTGTCTTTTCTTTTTTCATGGGGTATATTCTACATAACAAATAATAGATTATTGACATTGACGATGTCCTTGTGTGATGCCATAAACCATGATATTAGAGCTTAGGAATTTAGATATAATTGATTTCATTACCTTGATTGTAAACTCTACGGGCATGTTATTTGTCGTTGCAGGTGGTCTGTCAGCAGTACAGCTGGAAAAGAAAATAGAAGATTGGGTGCAAGAAAAGACAGGAAGCAAGATTGAATTCGAATCATCTGTGGCCATTAACTTTCTGAAATCCTATGGCATAGTCCAGGAAACAGATGACAAACTGTTTGTTATACCTCTGAAAACAGCCACAAAAACTCTCCCTTACAGTTCTCAGCACTGGATGGATGAAGTGGAGGAGGAGATAGAGGGGTACGACAGGGAGGGGAAACCAGAAACGGATGAACAGTATAAAAAAGAAGCGAAGAAGGAAAAGCTTATAGGCTGGCAATAGTTTGACTGTAACAGTTCTTATCTCTAACTTTTATTTCAATGTGTTCTTGTAAAAAAATTGGCTGGATTTGATGGGGGGAAATAGGAGAACGTTCATAGTTGCCAATTAATATTCAGGAGAGTTTGACAGCCACTTTTCTGAAAGTTCAGCAAATTATTTCAGAAATTCATAGCGACTTTTTAAAAATGTTTCTTTCTGGTTGCATGATATTTTAACTACCAGTGTCAACCTGATTTCTGTTCCTTTTCAGACAGAGAAAAATTTTCCTTTTGTTATTATTTGTAAGGTTTAAGGGTTTTTGAATGAAAAGAGTTCAAATAGACTTAAATAGTAGAAAGAGTTAGAGGAAGGAGGTTTGGGTAGATATTTGTTAATAATGACCTCATCATGGACCACACTGAACTAGCAATGGAAAGATGTCCATTTCCATAATTTCATTTTGTCTTGAACATTTTTCTTACATTTTTCATGGCCGAAAAATGTTGTTTTTTGACTGATTTTAATCAGTCAAAAAAAATGCCACTTATTGCTGGCACTATGAATGATTGATTCAAGAAGAAAATTGATAGAAAGAATATGCTGAAAAATGCATGTACCTTTACCAATTTATAACAAATAAATGAATATTGGAGATTCATTTCAGTACTTACAATGCAGGTAAAGGTTTATATTGTGGCCAAATATTGGCCAAAAATTCTTTTTCAGCATTTTCCCCTTTTATTGTGTATTTGTAATATACCTACATGAAAGCAAGTGAATTATTTGAAAGAATGTGTAATGTTGTGGAATGTTTCACAATTTATACAGTTATTGGAGCATGTTGTGTTTTGTACTGTTGATGAACCTATTGTGTAGGCAATTTATTTTATTGCGCCTTATTAGGCTAATTTGTTGTGCGCTAGGGTAAAGTAGTATCATTGTGCTAATGAAACGCCATAGCATGTGTTTGTGATATGAAAAATGAAATTTCCGAAACTGTTCAAGGATTTGTGAAAAATCGTGGCCATGTCTGGCATTTGCCAACTTTTCCGTTTTCCACCTAGGTAAAAAAATAGAGTGAAATCTCTTTATGACATATTTGTTTACATTGTCTTGAATGTATTTGAGGTCTGTGAACCCGTCTTTACATATCCCGAAAATTCGTGCACAACATGGTTTCAAAGTCATTGCATTTACTGAGTGTAAATTGTATCGAATAAAACAATTGAATAAAAGATTTCTGTGTTTTAATTTCCAAAACTTAATATCATTTAAAAAATATTTTACAGTGTTTTTTACGTAACGACTAAAATAATGTGGAAAGTAGACGGGGTACTTTTGTGAGCTTCCAACAGACATGAATATAACTTATATTAGACATTCATCTTTATCAAGAAATCTACTAATTTATTAAAACTAAAAAAGAATTCACTTTTGTGGAAATGCATGTTCTTGATATGTATTTGTAAAAAAATAGCATGTGTTTGTTTTAGAACGCTCTTAATTCTCTTTAACATGACTGAAACTGCTGATCTGAAATCGCAATCGGGGAAAAATGAGGCAATGGGTGAAGTTGTCAGTTGTATATCAAGCCCTAGCACATCAAATATTGTAAAATTTTCTTGTTTTTTTTCACAAAAATTTCCTGTACTCTTGTTTGTAGAAAGACTTTAACTCGTTTATATTTTTTAGTATTTTGAAATATATTTAGAATTTTGAAGTGTATA